AAGCCCCCCCTCCCCTGCAGGCAGAAGCACGCGGTGGTAACTCTCCTGGACTGTAGACTTTGGCTTCTAAGGCCGTTGCAGCAGTTTTGTTGAAAGCTACAAATTTAAAAATATCTCTACCGAAAGTATGTGCTCCATCACCCCAATGGATTCTAACCCTCTCTTCCCTCACACCTCTCCTCTTGCGAGCTGGACAGACAGGTGCTGTATCTGGGACCCACAACAGGGACCTGAAGTCAAGTGCTTCATTGTGGGTTCTCCTGGCTCCCTTGAAGCCAGCTCCAGTGGTTCCACTCAGTGACACCAGGCAGGTACTCTATTGGCACAGCCAGGCTCCTGGCACTGATGGGCTCTTTCGGTCCTCTGTGTGAGCTTTATGAAGCCAGAAATTACGCCATGAGGTTGCTGGATGGGGTTGCAAGTACCCTAGTCATTACTGCTCAAAAGTCTGGGGGACATGGAAGGTAAACTAAATGGTGTTGGTGGACCGGCCACAGAAGGACTGTCTAAGAGTAGTGTGCATGGGCAGGTCTGGTCCTCAGAGTATCCTCCTCAAGTGCTGATCTAGAACAATCCAACACTGGAAACTCCTTGACAGCTGTCAGTGAACACTCTTTTATTTATTTATTTATTTTTATTATTTTACGTGCATTGGTGCTATGCCTCAATGAATGTCTGTGTGAGGGTGTCGGATCCCTGGATCTGGAGCCACAGGCAGCTGTGAGCTGTCACGTGGGTGCTAGGACTTGAACCCAGGTCCTCTGGAAGAGCAGCCAGTGCTCTTAACCACTGAGCCATCTCTCCAGTTCCCTCATTGAACACTCTAGAGCATTCAAATGCAGTCTTTAAAAAATGATTTGGTTTATTATTTTAGTTATGCGCAGATGTTTGTGTCTGTGTGTGTGAGTATGTGCACCCGAGTGCAGAGGTCAGAGGTATCCGATCTCCTGGAGCTGGAATTACGGGGTGTGAACCACCTGACAAGGATGTTAAGAACTGAGCTCAGGCCCTCAACAACAGTAGTACATGCTCTTAACCACTGAGTCATCTCTCCAGACCCTCAGATGAAGTGTTTAAACTGGGTGTTTAAAAGCATTTCCTTGTTTAAAGTCTAATTTATTCTCTCAAGGATCCTGGTGGCAACCTCTTCCTTGGATGGTGGGAACTGGACAGTGATAGGCTGAGAGCTGCTCACTGTTGCTGCCCTAGGGGGAAGGCAGGGGGAACTGAGGCTTTACTGGGATATGTCCTGGCCTTTGGTCGCATCATTGCAACTGCTGGATGTGGGCAGAGGAAGAAGACACCGCTTTGCAGTGTGCCCACTGGACCACGATTCTGGGCTTGACCAATTCTCCTGTCATTCTGTTCCTAAATTCCAGGGACAAAGACTCAATGAGGCTCTCCACCCTTCACCCCCGAGAAGACATTGTTCCATGTCCTTCCTCAACCCCCAAGTTCTAGTTTGGAAATGTGTGGTTCAACAATGATGCAGGAATCCTAACGTGGCAGGAAGAAGGGATGTGAGAATAAAAATGTTTTAATTTTTGGTTGTTACTGTTTTTTTCTGTTGTTGTTTTTTTCGAGACAGGTTTTCTCTGTGTTACAGCCCTGGGTGTTCTGGAACTTGCTTTGTAGACAAGGCTGGCCTTGAACTCACAGAGCTCCACCTGCCTCTGCCTCTGGAGTTCTGGAATTAAAGGCGTGCACCACCACTTCCTAAAAAAATGTTTTATGTTCATGGTCTAGACACAAGTACTCCAAAGCTGCTGTGTGATCTTGCACGAGTGATCACTGCTTTCTGTGTCTTGGATTTCCACCCTGAAGTTAGGCTTGTGTGTGCCCTTGACCTTAGGTTTACTGATGTTTGGAACAGACCATTCTGAGGGCTGAGAGGCTATTCGGGGCACTGTACGAGACTTAGAAGCATCTTCAGTGGCTCCCAGAAGACCCAGAAGCACCCGCTTCAAGCAGACATTGGCAAGTGTCCCCTGTAGTGCAAAACCTTTTCTCCCACTGGTAATGATGTGTCTCCCTTTTAATGGTTATGATATTTAAAAGGGTGCCTTCCTTACTTCTCTCTCTCTCTCTCTCTCTCTCTCTCTCTCTCTCTCTCTCTCTCTCTCTCTCTCTCTCTCATCTTTGAACTTGATTCTTCTAGGATGAGCAGGTAGGATAAGGCCAGGCCAGGCCTGCTGGTCATGTGTTCAATCGTTGTGCTCTTGTGTGATAAAGGCATGAGCTCAAACCTATTCCTCACTGGTGAAGAGGGTGACACAGGCCCGTTTTATACAAGCATAAATGAGTCCAGATGCCATGTAGGATCCTGAGGAGGTGCCCAGGACACAAAGAGGTTGGTGCTGTCACAGAGATTTCACTTCTAAGTGAGCACTCCTCAAAAAGTTTGGGAGTAGGAAGCAGAAGACAGAGGAACCAAAAGGTGTCCAGCAGGAGCCGAGACTGGTCACTTGTCCCTCAGACTCTTTTTTCCTCCTCCTATAGATCACATGCCTACTATGGTGGTTTAAATGAAAATGCCCCCCCTCCCGCCCTGACTCATTGAGTGGCATTATTCTTGGAGGTGTGGCCTTGTTGGAGGAAGTGTGTCACTGGGGGTGAGCTTTGAGGCTTCAGAAGTTCAAGTCAGGCCCACTGTCACTTTCTCTTCCTGCTGCCTGCCAATCCAGATATAGACCTCAGCTACTACTCCAGCACCATGTCTGCTGCCGTGCTCCCACCATGGCAATGGACTACACCTCTGAACTGTAAGCCAGCCCCAATTAGCGTTTTCCTTTGTAAGGTGCAGGGTGGTGGTGCACAACTTTAAACCCAGAACTCGTAAGGCAAGAGGCAGGTGGATCTTTGAGTTCGAGGACAGCCTGGTTTACAGAGTGAATCCCAGGACAGCCAGGGCTACACAGAGAAATCCTGTCTCACAAAACAAAACAAACAAACAAAAAAAGAAAAGTAAAAAAGAAAAAAAAAAGGTTCATGTCATGACATCTATTCACAGTAACAAAACCCTGACTAAGACACCTACTTCCTACTTTCCTTTGCTCTTGGATGGGCCAATGTGATTGAGTTCTGGCTGATAGTGTGTGGACAGCAGGTCACAACTTCCTGGTCCAATAAAACCCAAATCATCTACTCTCGTCTCCACAGTCTGGCTCCACACTCCACGGGAAGCACTTAGTATGAGAAACGACGTTCTTTTGTCTTCAGCATTTACAGTTGGGGATGTTGAGTGTGTAGGTGGCTTACTCTTAAGTAATACACTGAAGGCTAGAATGGTGGCTCTGAGGTGGCCTACGGCTGGGTTATGAGTGTTTACATTTTCTTCTTTTATAAATGAATGCATGTGTGTGTGTGTGTTTCATATGTACAGTGGTGCACACACGCATGGAGACCATCTGCAGGAACCCTGTCTTCCTCCTTTGAGGAAGGACTCTCGTTGACCTTAGAGGTCATTTGATGAGTCAGAGAGGGCACCAGAGATCCTCCTGTCTCCACCTTCTCAATACTGGGATTGTCAGCGCCCACCACCTTAGGCTTGAGGTTCTTAAGTGGGCTCTGGGGATTGAACTCAGGTCCTCATGCTTGCAAAGAAAGTGCTTTACTGACTGAGCCACCCGTCCTCCACCTCCAGCCCTGGAACTTATTTTCATTAAGGAATTACAACACTGATTTCTGTGTTGGTTCTAACAGACCTAGCTCTGAAAGTTAGGGAGGCAGCAATTTTAGCTGAACTAAACACGTGACCACATAACCGTGGGAGGTGGTGGCAAGTCCCTAAATGCAGCCTGGCACGAGTCAGCCCAGGATGTCTGGGCAGCTTCTGCTGAGCCAGGGTTTCCTCCGGGCTAAGAATAAACAGAAGATACGGGCATTTTGGCACAAGGTGCTAGCTTCAGGCAGAACTGGTTCCAAGCATGCAGCACAACAGTGTACAGCACGGTCACTGGTGGGACCAGGCAAAAGCCTGAAGTCTCCAGGCTGTCCTGGTGGCTCAGCATACCTGGGAACATGTTTTTGAAAGAAGACTAAGAAACCAGGACACAGAGTTCAGATAGGCTGGGAGAGGGCAGAGGTATGGGGTATAGCTTGGTGGCCTTCCGGGGGACTAGGATGTAAGAAGCCTTTGAAAGAGGCAGAAGAGTTTGGCTGCAGTGAGACTAGGCAAGGCCATCACTCTTGGGAAGAATATTCCAGATCACAGGCCTGCAGGGATGGTGACATGAACTGTGAAGGTCCCTGAGCCGTGGGGTGGCTAGAATAAGGGACGTTAGTAATGATCTTCCTTCATGCCTCTGATACCCAGCAAAGGCCGCACCAGGCAGAAGCTGGTGACTCACAGCAGTTGTTTCTGGAGGCTGTGCAATCTGCCAAGCAGAGCTTGGGTGGATGGTTCACTCTGGCCCCTTCTCTCCCTCTCTTACCTTGTCCCTGCCTGAGCCAGAGGCAGTGGCCGCTGGCAACCCTGACTGGGCTGGGGGTGGGGTGGGGTCCAGTCCTGTAACAGCAAAGGGAAGCCTAGGGTCCTCTTGCCTCAGCTAGTGTCTCCTTCAGGAAGTCCTCCTGCATCCTAGGGAAAGGCACCAAGCTATCCCCCTGCCTCTGCCCCAGCTTGTCTAAACTCACTGTCCTGGTTACTTAGCCCTCTTTCTTCCTGCTTTAGGAAGATGCCTAGGAGAATGTGTCCCTGGATGTGCTGAGTTCCCATGGCTCGGGGAGTTCAGGTTTTGGTCAAATCCCACCAGTGATTTACTTAGCTGCTCCCAGCTTATCCATGGAAACGAGTCTTAGTGGTGCCTTCTCCAGAGGTCAGAGCCTCGCCTGGTCTTCAGAGTCAATCCAGAGAAGTCAGTCTTGTCCACATGGCGTCTGCCCTCACCCTGTCAACCTCCTTGTCTTGGATGTTCCACACAATGCCTACACCTGGGATACCAGACACCCACAAGGATCCCAGGGAAACACCCCCCCCACCTACTATATGAAAAAATAGAGCATTTTAAAAATGTTTTTATTTAATTAAAAAAAGAGAGACAGAACTAACAACCCCAAACCACTGGTGGGTACAGGATCACAGGGGCTTAACTGGTGAAACACACAGGGGAGAACTTGGGACAGAGGAGGGGTGGGAAGATGGGCTCAGGCTTCATGTCCCATCAGGGAGGGATCCAATCTGAGGCTGCTAGCAGTAGGGCCCACTCTGCTCCCTTTGTCCGACAGGGAGGGCAAGCTGGCAACCAGGGTCCCCAGAGTGAGGCCAACAGTCAGAAAGGCTGCGAGGGCCAGAGCAGCTGAGGTTTTCCACCCTGTGTTCTACCCCCGTCTCTTCTTCCTTTTCCTTCTAGCTCTTTCTGGGTCCCTGGACTGGGACTGTGCACTCTGCCTGGGAATGGACAAGAGGTAGGATTCATCGGAACACAGCTTTCTTATGTGGGATCATGGAAACTCCTGGGACCACCGTTGGGAAGGTGGCTTGTGTGGAAGTTTACCATAGGCCTCTTCAGTTCCAGAAGAGACACGACGTAGGTCTTGGGTCTCCCTGGGGGTGGGCCTCAAAAGATGTTACAGTGCGGGAGAGGGGAGGGGAAGGTGGCTGGGGAGGTGGGCAGGGAGAAGGCCTGCAGCAGGGACAGACCACACATCGGGACACAGGTGCTCACTGCCGGGGATGTTTTGACACACGCCGAGGAGCCAACCTGGCCAGGAGGGGGCAGTTTTGAGCAAGTACAAAGGAACCCTGGCATGCTCACATCTCTGCTCACTAGCTCCTGGGCCGCTGGCTGGAGCTATGACTTGGGATGTCTTCCTCTGGGGTCGTGGGGGCAGGGATGAAGGGCGGGCAGGGAAGGACAAATGGAGCTGGGTCTGAGTCAGCCTAGGGGGCTCCGTGAGCAGGCGACTGAGGTAAGAATTGGCTTGTCACTTCTAAGTGAGACAGTTACCGGGGTCACAGATGAATGTTCAAGATTGGATTAAGAAGTCTCAAAAAGTAAGAAACACTTGATCCTTAGAAAGCACACGTGTTATAGAAAAGGGGGGTGAGTTCCACTTTCTGGAGTGTTCTTTCTAACCTGGGCACACTCACATGGTTTTTGCTCACCTCCAGAGGGGAAGGGGGAACGGCTGGACAAACTGTAAAACACAGAACTCATCCTCAATTCAGGCAAAGTTAGAAAGCCCAGGGCGGCCCCTTGAGTCAAATGTCCACGGAGTCCTTCGGGTGTGGGCAGAATAAATTATAACGACAGGAGTTGGGGGAGATGTCATCGCTACTGTTTAGGATGAGGAGATGAGTGCAGCTTGTTCTCCTGCTGTTGGTTTTTCGGTACGCCATGATTCAGAACCATTTGGAAACGCATGCTCTTTTTTGTCACCCTCAGGTTGCCCTTTCTTGTGCTGGAGTTTGTTCATCTGTCCTGGGACAGCAGTTAGGAGGTGGGGGTATGGTTCTGTCTCCCAGCAGGGTCCTCTGTTACTCAGAGGACAGAGTGGCTCCTCAGGTAAGTGGGGAGGGACACAGCAAGAGGCTGTATGCCTACCTTTCCTCAGACCCGTGGGATCCTCCTGATCTCCAAGTTCAGTTAGTATGTCCCGCCCATGCTCAGCTCGGCAGAAACTTCCAGAAGCAGGCAGGAAAGCCAGCAGAGCCTCTGCCTTTGCCTTAGATGCCTCGTCTCCTGAGGTGGAGAGAAACTGGCCACAGGACAGCTCGAGGCCGAAGCACCAGGTAGCCATAGAACTTTCTCGTAGGACGATGATTCTTACAACCACAGGCTCCACCAGGGCGCCAGACAGAGGCCGAGAGAGGGAGACACAGAGGGGGATGGAGCGAGGGCTCCAGGACACAGGAACTTGCGGGTAGGAAACAGCTGATGGGAGCTCAGAGGTCCCAGTTCTGGAAGAAGCCTTCCTGTGGCCCAGTGCCCAGGTGAGGGGAAGCGGTTTGACATCTTCTGGCATGACTGGTTTCCTGGTTTGCAAGAGGCAGGCTGATGCAGCTTCAGGACAATTCTTGGGCCTCCTGGGAAATTTCAGAGACCCAGAGGGCAGCAATACGCCCTGTCTTGGGAGAAAGCCAGCCTTCAGTTTCTATCCTAGCCCTGCTTCTGGTCTCCGGGTTTCCTTCATTCTGAGCCAGTCCACGGCATCTTCTGGACGCCAGGGAGGGTTGCCCCTGGCTCCAACTCACTGTCTATAATCTTAAGGGTCACCCTGTTGCATGTCACACCAACAGCCACTCTGGGGAAGGCCAGTGCGGAGACGGGTGGGCAGGTCACACGGGAGTCGTCCGTCGGTTCAGCATGCTGACATGGAAACCCTCCTTTAGGTCCTGTTGGAAGAAGTCGTGCATCTGCAGGAAGCCAGCATCCTGGTCCGGGCTGTAGCTGGCAGCTGTGGTTACCTTGAGGGGCTCCCTGGACAGTGTGTACATGGACAGCTCACCCATGGGAATGGCCCCGGTGATCTTCAGGCCCACGGGGGACGCATCCCTGGAGGGCGAGGCCTCGGTGGACCTGGAGCTGGACCTGGACCGCCGTCGCCGGTACCTGTAGCTCGGCATCCTGGCGTAAGGAGAGGAGGAAGAGGGCTTAAGGAATTCCCGCTTGGTCTTAAACCTCAACTCTTTGTTTTTCTCAATGTAAATGTTTACGGCCAGGACGCCCACCGTCTCCGCCACAATAAACGACAGGGCTCCAAAGTAAAAAGACCAGCCGTAGTTGTAATGGCTCTTTTTGTCTTCGTCGCGTTTGTCACTGGGGTCGCCCGTGTTGCTGGAAATGTAGACGATGATGCCAATGACGTTACTGAGGCCTGAAAGGGAAGGCAGGGAGACACTAGAGGTCAGACTCACAGCAGTAATGGCAGGACAGAGAACAGGCCGCTGGAGGTGTATTGGTGGCCAGTCTTCTCCATGATATTTGTTTATTAAGGTAATTTATTTTTTGAGAAAGAGTATAACGTAGTCCAGGCATGTCCTGAATTTAAGTAATTGAGGATGACCTTGAACTTCCAGTTAATTCTCCACCTCCCCAAGCACTGAGATTACAGGCATGGCTACCATACCTGGCTTGGTAACTAATTTTTCATCTTTCTACCCTTTTTTTCATCCCTCCTTTTATCTTCCTTCTTATCTTTGCTTTTGATTGAGTCTCATGTAACCCAGGCTGGCTTAGACCTCCCCAGGAGCTGGCTTTGAATTCCTGATCCTCAGAAAAAATTATTTTGTGTATCTGTGTATTGGTGTTTTGCATGCATGTATGTCTATGTACCACATGACTGCCTGCAAAGGCCAGAAGAGGGCATCAGATCCTCCGGAAGAGTTACAGATGGTTGTGAGTCACTGTGTGCGTGCGTGCTGGGAATCAAACTCCAGTCCTCTGCAAGAGCAGCCAGTGTTCTTTTAAAAAATTTTTACATTCTAATCCCAGTTCCCCAGTTCCCCAGTTCCCCTTCCCTCCTTTCCTCTTGCTCCCCCAATATCCCCCTACCCCACCTCCCATCTGCTCCTCAAAGAGGGTAAGGTCTCCCCGAGGAAGTCAACTATGTCTGTTCCATCACCTCGTTGAGGCAGGACCCATGCCCTGCTATGCCTAGGTTGAGCAAGGTATCTCTCTATAGAGAATGACAGCCAGTGTTCTTAACCATGGAGCCATCTTTCCCAGCCAGAACTCCAGATTCTTTTGCCTCCTCCTTCGAGCTATGCGCCCCACCACAGCCCCTGAGTGTTTGTGAGAGATAAGTTCTACATTTTCCAGAAGAGCCTGAAATCCGTGATGACCACAGCCCTCAGAATAGTGCCACATTCACCCTTAACCCACCAACTCCCCAATACAGTCCATCCCCAGCTAGCTCGTAACAGCCAACACAATCCTATACCGAGTGAGTGGCTGTTACTCTGTCCTTTCCAGGCCAGTCCCTCACCCTGTCTTTACACGGCACACTCCCTTGAGACTTGGCATCCCAGGAGTCTCTCAGTCAGCTCCCAACCCTGTTACAGGTTTGGAAAGCACCCAGAGCCCAGCACCTCAGTTGTACTTTGCACACCCGACACACCCTGAGATGAGGTGAAATTCGCACACCATCAAATTAACCTTTCTGCAGGACACAATCAATCCAGCGGCATTTAATGCACTTAACAACGTGTGCAACCCTTCACGGTGTGTGAAATCCTGTCTGTAACACTGCCATCCCCTCAAAAGGAAACCCCATTAAGCAGTTACTCCCCTTCCCGTGCCTCAGTCTTAACGCATCCACCCTCTTACAGTTAACCTCGTGCTAACTTCAGACTGCCTCAGCTCCTGTTCCAGAGGGGCAGCCCAACTTACCTGCGGCCACAAAGAGGATGCCTGCACTGAGGACAATGTTGTTCTTGCGGCTGTAGATCCTCCCAGCGCCAATGCAGAGCCCTCCAAGCAGGAGCAGGATGGTGCTGAGGATGGGAAAGACACTGGAGGCTCGCACAATGCCTAGGCCAGGGTAGGAACAAACCAGAGAGGGCAGTGAGCCCAGCCATCCTCCCTGCCATGGCCATGGGTGTGTCTCCCAGGAGTCCTGCTGCCGGACACAGGCAACTGATGGCGCTAACTCGGCTGTTTACCCATCCAGAAGCCAAGTGACTATAGCCAGCTCTGTCTGCAGGTCCCTGGGCCTCCTTCTGGGTGTGGACCACATTTCTTTCAGATGGGAGGGACTGGAGTCCCTCAGTGGCACTGGGAAGGCCACAGCAACAGTCACTAATGTTCTGGATGGCATGACATTCATGTAACAGCTCTCAGCTCACTAAGCTCTCTCCTAAATGATCCCATTTGTGCATCAGAAGGCGGGGAAGTGGTGTGCCCAAGAGCCGGCTTGGATGGATGGTTGGCGGGACAGGCTTCAGCACATTAAATGGGACTGGGTCCAGCTCTGTGACATGCTGTGTTCTTAGGCAAATCGCTCCACTCTTCAAAAACTCACTTTCGCCACTTGTGGAACAGGGTTTAATGACTCAGTGTCTCCTCGTTTGTAAGGGGATACATTCCAAGTACCAAATCCTACAAGGACCCTGTGTTTTCCTAGACATACACACCCATGATAAAGCTAACATTTTAAAATTTTCATTTATTATTATTGTCATGTGCATGCATTGTGCCACAGCCCATGTGTGGAGGTCAGAGGACAACTCTGTGCACTCGGTTCTCTCCTTCTGTCTACGCAGGTTCCGTGGCCGAACTCAGGGCTCCAGGCTCGCTTACACAGCAAGCACCTTTACCTGGAGCCATCCTGCCAATCCACCGCGATAAATTCGATTTTTTTGACAAATCAAATCTAGAAAGTGACTGATAGCAGCTAATAATGAAATAGAACCACTGTCACACTGTACTGTAATAAAAGTCACTTTGAAAACCTTCAGGGTTCTTTACTTTTGGCATTTCCCATTTCATAAATTCGAACTGCTGTTGACCAAAACCCCGCAAAGTAAAACCATGAATAAGGACTAAAATCTCACAAATTAAGGCCATGAATTCGCGGGGCCCATGGTGCTGTGGTTGGCTTCGTCTCTGTGGAGTGATTAGCACAAGGCCAGCTGCATTGGGCACTTCCTAAGTGACTAGCTTTGTTCAGCAAATCACTACTGTGCCCATGGATGAAGACACACGAGCTCATGACATTCGAGAGTCACAGATGAGGCTGCAGGGCACGGTGAGACGTTGCCTACCACTCTGGCCACCAGAACCATGTCTGAATCCTTGTTCTACCCCTGCTCAGCCAGGGTGTGGGTGGGGCAGGGCCGGGGAACTTCAGTGACCACCTGAGTTCACTTTTCCATACCCTGCCACTGTAGTGATACCACGCTGGAAGGTTGGCTGTGCCCTCTCCCTGTGGATCTGGCCTCCCATGGGAAAAGGTATTACATATGTGTTTAGGGACCTTAGGGGCTCGACATCAGACCATCTGAATGGACCAAGTGGTCCCTGAGTCCAGGGATAAGCACCTTTCTACCACCGTGGAGAGGGTTATAAGGATGGAGTCAGAGGGCAGTGACACTGTCAACAAACTCTGATGCTCCCAAATTGCAAGCAGTGCAATTGCTCCCTGAGCATGCAGAAGGGCAAGGTCCTGCCAATGTGTCCCCCTTTGGACTTCCAGCTGCCACCCAGGAGACAATTTCTGCTGCTTTCAGTCTCATGGTCCAGGATGGTTTCCTACAGCCCCTTAGGAAGTGAATGCCCACCAGCGCACACGGCAGGATTCCATTCTCCACCCTGGGCATCTGGGTGGATGGCAAGGAGGTCATGGAAGATGCTCAGAACTCGGCCTTCTCTGTGTCCTTATAGCTCTAGAGAAATCTAGTTGCGTGGGCCTTGGTGGCGCCAGCCGAGGGCTGTGAGTCAGGAAGTGCGGGTAGGTGCCCCTCCTGAGCCAGCTGACTGGCTTGGGGCCTTGCAGCCTCTGAAGGCGGTGTTTGTCTCCTTTCTGTACACCCACAGTGTGAGCCCCTGCTCCACAGAGAAGGGATTGTGTGGGGGCATTAAATGAAACTCCTCTCCCCAGCACTTCCTCCCCGACTCCTCTTAGCTTTCTTGTAGTCACAGGCTCTGGGGAGGAGGCTTCCGGTGTGCTTCGGAAACAGGCCTCTGAGCTGAGATGGCCAGACTCAGGCCAAGACCCTGTCCTGCCTTCTGAAGACCAGTCAGGTGACCCAGAGAGAAGGGTGTATCTGGAGTTTTCTGTTCGGCCACGTTCCGCAGCCACCTTGCCCCCAAATAAGCACATGGACGCTGTAATAATTGTAAAACTGTTTGCCGATGGCTAGGGCTTCTTATTGGCTAGCTCTGTCTTAGTTATTAACCCGTAACGACTAATCTATGTATTTCCACATGGCCTTATCTTACCAGAGAACGCCTGGCGTGTCCTATCCTCCCGGTCTCTACATGACGCCACTCTGCAGTCTCTCTCTGCCTGCCTTTCCCAGAATTCTCCTCGTCTCCCAGTCCCACCCATCTTCCTGCCTCTATTGGCCAAGCAGTGTTTTATTCATCAACCAATTAGAGAAACATATACAGAAGGACATCCCCCACCAGAAGGGTGCTCCAGTTCCTTCAAAGACACTGGAGGCCTGTGGCTCACAGCCTCCATCTAGGTGAGTCCTACAAGCACCTGTCTCTTGCCACTTGGGCTCAGATGCTCCAGTACCTCGCTGAACACGTGACTGAGGGATGGCAGGCTAGAGTTGGCCGAGGCACAAGACCTCATCAAGCCACAGGGATGAAAAACCTGTCTGTCTGGAGGGTGGGCACTGTCTTATAGCTTACTCTAGGCTTCACGGTGGACTCACGGCTGCCTCCACACCAGCGTTGAGGCTTGGCACAGACACCCTCCGTCTAACTGGAAATCCTGAACTTAGGAGGGAGGTGCCAGGCAGAGACTGTGGGGACAAGACACACTCAGGGAAGAGACTATGCAGGGTGTAAGTGGCTCCCTCAAAGCTTAAGCTGTGAGTGTGCAATGCTCAGAGCCCCCAGGAATTCAGCGACAATAGTGCACCTCAAAATGCAAGTTTAGCTTCTCTGGGAGGTTTGGGGGCTTGAAGGTCAGGGTTGACTTGTTTCTTGAATTTTCTAAGGTAGGGTGAGAGTCCCCTAGCCTCGGGCCTGCTGTCTCGTGGGGGGGGCTCCCCTTGCCACAGAACCTTTTGTGCTCTCCAAGTCCCTGCACTCTGCCACCAGATGAGCGCCTGGAGGGCAGAGCTGTCTCCATGCCACTGCAGCCCACTTGCTCAGGATGGTGACAGGTACACAACAGAGTCACACGTTTCTGTTAAATGAATGAAGAAACAAATGAGACCATCACATGAGCCCCCAGAGACCACTCTCCTGGGCTTCTCTACAATTTGGAGATAACAGTCTGGACAGACACCAGGACACTGAATACTGATAATCAGGGCAGCCTGGGAGACACAGGCCTCATGGCTACAGGGACCATGACCTTCACAGGTCTTGGAGTTGTGTAATCAGCTGGATCCCTCTGTTCTGGGGGAATGTGGAAACCATTTCAGGGCCAAGTGTCCCTATCTCCACAGCCCTATCTCCGAATGGGCACACACTAGCTTATTAGGAAGTCACCTCTGCCTCTACCTCCAAACTCACCATTAGCCAAAGCCTGCAGGCCTGGGGGCATCTGCCATTCTTTTCCTGGGTACCTCTGGGCTTGTTACGAACCAGCAGGTCTCCCTGGGGATCTGGTATATTTGAGAACATGTCCTTTGTGAGAGAGACAACTGTCACACTGATACTATCACTCTGAGGCACTTCCAGTCTCCTGGGTTCCCAGGGGACACTGCTGGTGGGAGAACCTGTGACATCAGGGCCGAAGCTTCTGGTCACATGCTTTGTGTGACTCCAGACCCTTACTCAATCCTTCTCTATCCCATCCTGGAGCCCAGGAGGCTGACTTATGGACCAAACCACCAGGGCTCCCAACGCTGGCTTCTGGATGACAGTGACACTGATAGAGTTACTACTCCCAAGGCTTCTCTCTGCCAAGCTGCAAAATGAAGAAGCTGCCACAGCATTTCCTAAGGGTCACAGCTCTTGCCACTCAGCCCCGTCCCTCCATCTCCCTTTCACGTGCTCTGCCTCACAGAACCGGAAGGATGCCACTCACACCATAATTTATGAAAGTAGCAATCCTTCAGTTGTACACTGTGCAACCTCCACAACGATCTCCGGCCACTCAAAGGGGATCTCGTTTACCTGGTAGAGCGTGGGCCCCTAATATGCAGAATCAGAGGGCAGGAGGGGGAGAGAGAAGATAAGGGAGGTGGATTGGAGGCAGGGCTCTGGTCATATTATTTCAGGTTCTGGGCCTGGCTGGAGCAGCCTGACATGGCCTCAGCTCCATGGGAACCGTGCACTGTTCTATTTCATCAGATGACTCATAGTCCAAAGCCTTTCTTGTAGGGGAAAGAACCCCAGTCAGGTGCACAGTGAATTGCGCTCTCTCTAAGGACGCGCTGGTATCGACTCTCCATGTATGAGGCTGGGCCTGAGCCCCAGGGGCTCTGTGAGGAGCAGCTCTTTTTGTCTTTTGGCTGATGGGGAAGGAGGAGTGACAGAAATTCTAGTATCCATTTCTAGCCCCTCTCTGGCTGCGTCTTCCTGTGTTCTGGAGAAGATGTGTTCAGAGGCCCACAGATGAACTCTGGGTAGACTGCAGGAGCACAGGCAGCTCAGCATGTGCTGTGGGTACCAGCTGGGAGGCGCCACTGAGTCACAGGGGCAGATGGCAGCAAGGGCTTAAGAGCAGCCCACAGGCAGAGTCAGTGCCTGCATTAGTCGGGGTTGAAGGGATTTAGGGCCACCTGCCAGAGGGTACCCTGCCACCTCCATCACCAACTCCACCAACTCCGGGATTCCTAGCACTCCAGGAGGCTACTGTCTTGGCTGGTGAGTTAATCCCTATGTAGTGTGCCCGTGATGCTCTGTCCCTCAGGACGATGCAGAGCCTTTCAGCTTTTTCAAGACTGGGCCTCACAGAGCTCAGGTGACCTCAGATTCATCTCACAGCAGAGGAGCACCTTGATCCCCTGATCCTCCTGCCTCTGCCTCTTGAGGGCTGGAATTATAGGTGTGAACAATCATACTGGGCTCAGAAAGCTCGTATCTTTTTCTTTCTTTCTTTCCTTCTTTTTTAAAATTTAGCTTTATTTTATGTGCATTGGTGTGAGGGTGTCAGATCCGCTGGAACCAGAGTTACAGAGAGTTGTGAGCAGCCTTGTGAGTGCTGGGAAGCTGGGTATTGAACCCTGGTCCTCTGGAGGAGCAGCCAGCATTCTTATCCGCTGAGCCGTCTCTCCAGCCCCATCTTTTCTTTTTAAACTGGAGACTGGGGCTCATGTAAACTAGCCTGGCCTCACATTTATTATACAGCAGAGGATGACCTCACCTTCCTCATCCTCCACACCTCCTGAGTACTGAGATCACAGCATGGGCCAAGCTGGGTTTTAACGGAAGCCAGAGCTTTGTACAGCTAGGCAAGCGCTCTACCAACTGAGCTACACCCCCAGTGGAAGTTCCCATCTTGGACCTCACTTGCTCCACCAGCAGTCCCTTGAAGCTTCACCCCACCGTTTGTGGGTCTGGGGCCTTGACCCACGGTATGCACCCACACTCAGGACACCCACATGTCAGGGCACCCACATGTCAGGGCGCTGCTGGGATACCCCCACCCTCTGAGCACTTCTGAATGAAAACCCTCACAGCCCCCAGGACAAAGAACTGAGGCCAAGTCCACAGGGCTCACCTCTCTAGCCCCTCCCTTCCTTTCCCCTCCTCATGCAAAGCAGTGGGGGTACTTGTCACTCACGGAGGAGGTACTCTGAGCTGTCGTGGTCATAATCATTGTCCTCTGGGAAGTGGTTGATCCTGAAGCAGTGTCCCTTATAGATGCCTGGAAGAAACAAGGGAAAGCACGGGCTGTGAGTGTCTCGTGGGTTCACACAACTGTTCATTCCAGACATGGGGACTTTGGGCAGGTCACAGGGGCCGAGGGGAGAGAGGCTGGATCTGGAGTCCCCGCTGCTTAGTGCCCTTGTGGGGACACAGACACACACAAAGAGAACAGTTGAATCTCACTCACAACGATATCACTTATGGTTAAGCCTTGACATCCCCAAGAATGAAACAACACACCATCAGTCACTGTCAGGGCAAAAAGGCTTCAAACAGCAGGTAAGATCCCCAGACCCAAGGGGATTCTAGAGTTGTAGCTTGAAAAATGACCAGGAATTTGTTCCTGGACAATGGGCAGAGGGCCTTCCAGGCAGAGCAAGACTCAGAAAGGCAAAGGTTGGGCGGTACTTATATACAGCACATCGCGATTCCCTTACACCAAATGCTAGGATGGACTGAAGATTCTACCCCCTTCAATCTGATTGGTGGTAGAAAGCCAAGAAACTTCTGGAAGGGCTAAAAGGCTGGAAGAGCAGGATTCCTGGCTTGTTCAGTACTGCAGGAGGACAGGACAGTTTTCCCTTCCAGAATCTTTCATCCATTTTTCCTAACCCTCTGCTGCCTGGTAGCCCGGGAATGCCCATCACTAAACACACCAGCTAAGAGGGAGTCATACGGGGAGGGAAGGAGTCACACGGGGAGGGAAGGAGTCATGCCACTTTGTGCCTGTGCCTGCCAACTCTCATGTCTAGTCAGCCGCCTGACTCCGGCCGAGCTCTTCCTCCCCCAGTCCCGTAACTGGCCGGAGCTGGTCTATTTCCAGCTGCAGCCAGTGCTTTTTCTTTCGCAGCTGCTGCCAAGCATCCTGCTGGCCTCTAGCTGCCCAGCCTGACCTCACAGCGGGTGGGAGCAGTGCTGGAGGCTGGGTGTGTGCCAGAGGCACATCTGTCTTCCCGTGTGTCCAACTAAGGGCTCCCTGCTGAGCCGGGAGCATGCCGGTTTCCTACCTGGCTACAAATGAGGTGCTGGCCAGCTGGCCAACTCCAAGCTCCCCCCCATCTCCCTTCAGCCAGCTGCTCCAAAGACCTGTATGCACTGTAGCAGCCGTGCTTCCCCGGGCCCAGATCAGAGTCCAGGAGACGACTGAAGATCTCAGAGGTGCTCTCTTAGGTGGGGGAGTACTTTCACAGTGTTTTCTGCGGGAACACAGTTAACCTCGACTTTCCCCACCTACACCGTGGCAATAACCTCAGCTCTCACCTCCTAGGTCCCTTAGAACTATGTGAGATGGTAATGGCAAGGGGGTTCTCGGCCTGTGGTGATGACTCAGGGAGGTTTGCTGCTGCTGGCCTCAGAGTCACTGTGTTCTACTTCACATGTCCCCGAGTGGTTGTCATTGAGCAAACGCAGGGGCTGCTGAGGGAAGGGATAGACTATTAGCATGGGCTGGTCCCAGGGTGGCACACTGGGGGTCGGCGCACTGGCAGAGGCTGGAGTGGGCCAGCCACAGCCTCCACCTCGTTCCTAGACCTGCCACCCCAGATTTAAAAAACGTTTCCTCAGATCCAGAACCAGCCTTTTCTATAAAAGATGAGTAGAGGGAGCAGCATGCCCAAGGGCTGCCACTGCCCACCCCCAACACTTCTCTTTTGCGGGTTTTTTTTTTTGCCACTTCATGGGTCTAAAAAATCACCAAGTCACACCTGCTTGTTGGAACAAGTCAAATAATAAGAGGCTGGAAGAGAAGGAAATAAGCTCTTCAGAGTGACAATCCTGTGGCCGACTTCCCGGGTTTGTAGTCTGTCTTCTTATAACTTCCCACGCACACGCATACAGGTAGGGTTATCCTCCAGCTTCAAGGGGGGGCGCTGCTGGGGGTCGATCCCAAGTCCTATGAAGCATATATCCTACTCCTGGACCCCAGTCTCTATTTTAAAAATTTGAATTACTATAGAGGGGCTGGGGAGATGGATCAGTGCTTATCACTCAAGCAGGAGGACCTGAATCTGAGTCCCCAGACCCATGTAAAAAGCCAGGTGTGACGGTGCTCTGTCGCTGCAAGGTGTGGGGTCAGGAGGTGGGCAGAGATAGGAGGATCCTGGGCACACCAGCCAAGCAGCAAAGTATAGCCCAAACCAGCAAGAAACCTGTCTCAAAAATAAGGTGGAGAAGTCTTGGACGATGACTCAGCATGCAAGCGTGAGGACTGGAGTTCAGATCCCCAGAAAGGATGAAAAGTCTGAGAGGCAAGGAGGTCTGCCTGGAACCTCAGGTGGGGTGTGCTTGGGAGAGGTGTGTGTGGGCAGACACGGAGTTTTGAGCAAGCTGCTGAGACTAGCACACATGGTGAGACCTGGCTTCAGCTAGAGACTGCCTCAATACGTAAAGTGAAGGACAATGAAGGGAGACCCAGCAGTAACTCAGATCTACATATGTACACATATCCGTGTGCACTCACACACACATACACACACAGGCACGATAGTAAAACAGTTGAGAGACATCTCTAAGTCAACTTCTGGCCTCCATACATGCCCACACTGATGAGCACACTCGAGTACAACCACACCCCCACACAACCACACCCACATAAGCCACACCCTACACAACCACACCCACATAAGCCACACCCTACACAACCACACCCACATAAGCCACACCCACACACAACCACACCCATACATAGACACACCCACACATGACCATACTCAACCAGACCCACACATAACCACACCTATGCACAACCACACCCACACATAGATACCCCATACATGACCACACCCACACATAACCACACCCACACATAGCCACACCCACACATACATAAAGAAGAAATAACACGACATGGAATGCCCTTTACTCAGCTTCCTGACAAAACTAGCATGATGTCACATCTAGGATGGCAACAATGACCTTTTTGATACAGAACCTTCCATCACAAGGATCCCTCTAGTCTCCATTTGCCCCATTTTTATAGCACACACACCTTCCTGTCTACCCCAGTCTGTCTAGAACCCACAGCAGCCTCCACAGGGTTCCCAACTGTGGTAGTTCTGTCCTTTGAAAACTGTTCTACATATGGGATCTAAGGCATGGCATGGTAACCTTTGGAGAGTGGCGTCTGCACTCAGCACAATTCTCCTAAGACTTATCTCCAGTTGGTGTGCTGGTGGCTTGTGCCTTCCATGGCTGGGCAGTGTTCCCTGGTATGGAAACCTCATCTCTGCTGAATCATGACCCACTGACGGATGTCTGCCGTTTCTAGCTGTTCCCAACAGTGTCACTGTGGGTGTTCAGGTCCTAGGGGCAAATATGTTTATTACCACTCTGGGACAAATGCCCAGGGGTCCAACTGTTGGGTCATATGACAGCAACATGCTTAGTTTTTTTTTTATTTTTGGTTTTACGAGACAGGGTTTCTCTGTATTGTTTTGGAGGCTATCGGTCCAGCCTGGCCTCGAACTCACAGAGATCCGCCTGCCTCTGCCTCCCGAGTGCTGGGATTAAAGGCGTGTGCCACCACCGCCCGGCAACATGCTTAGTTTTAAGACAGACTGTCAAACTGGGCTCTGGTATGACTGTAGTAATGGAATATCATATACATTATCTACAATCTGCTTTTGCCACTGACGCACAATCACAAACGCCTCCCCAATTAAGAATTTCGGTCTTGAGAAAATTTTTATTTTCAAATTAGAAAAATAGTAAGCCATCATCATCCACCCAAATGACGCAGGAAAAGTCCTAAAAGGAACCCACAGGAATGAAAAGGAAAGCCCCTCATCGAGGTCGCTGAAGGAAAAGGGCTGTAGCCTACATCAGGATGTCGAGTGTTTGTATGTTCACCGGGAGACAAAGCTGAGCTTCCGGAACACTAGCTTGCACACTCGCAGAGGCATCTGCTCTGAGCATCGTTCCGACATATTCCACTGTCCTCAGCTCTACGGTTACAGTGGCGCTGAGCTGAATTAATGAGTTGATTTTTGTGGCACTGGGGACTGAGCCCGGGGCTTTGAGAAGGCTAAGCAAGCGGCTGTACCGCTGAACTGTGTCCCAGGCCCCTCTTCCTTTCTTTACTTACTTATTATTTTACAGAATTGTAAACAAGGCCGTGCAGTGCATTCATTAGCTTTCATAGCTTTGGTGTTTGTTTGTTTGTTTGTTTTGAGACAGGGTCTCACTGTGTAGCCCCAGCTGACCTGGAACGCATGAGATCCACCTACCTCTGTCTACCAAGTGCTGAGATTAGCGCCAGTAGGCCCGGCCTGTGGCCTTGCTTTAAAGTGATATGAATGGAGTAGGCGATGGAGCAGGCGGTCACCACGGGTTTTGTCCCCACTGGTCAGAAAGAGATTGATCCTTGTCCCTGGAGCTAAGAATTTGAGGTTCTTCCCTTAAATGTCCAGCTTGGTCAGATATCTTTAGTTTTGTTTTATTTTTTTCCCCTGGTGGCTCCAAGAGCCTTCTCTATTCCCATTCTCTCCTCAGGATTAGTTGGGAAACTCTATGTCCTGAGGTAGAGCATCCAATAGCGAATCCAACATTCAGGCTGCACCCTCCTCCTTCTCTGGGGTCCTTGCTTCTATTAATGGGACCAAGCATTCCTGTCACCTCAGTTTCCTGGGAGTTTTTCCACAAGAGCTACCTCACCTCCCTCAACCTGTTTATGTGGAGTGCAACAGTTTTAGTCCTGAGGACTTCACATTTATCTCTGTCAAGTTTAATTTTGTTAGCATTGGCTTGAGGCGTTTAACAGGGAGAAAATTAATGGCTGATGAGAGAAGTAGGAGAGAAAGCTATTTCCACCTCACTTGAGTTCTTTTTCAGCAAGACGGAACACTGACTGGGTTGTCTGCTAAGTGATATTTAGGGCGGTCCATTCTGAGACCCTGGACTGAGCCCACTACAAGAATATGGAGACACTAGGGGCATGGTGGTCACTGGCTTGTGTTCACAGGGACACAGTGGCCCTCAGGAATATCAGGAAGCTAGTTGTTC